CGATAACTATTTATCGATTCCGATAACTATTTATCGAGATCTATGAAACATGTAGAAATATTGTTATTTTCCGCTCGAAAAGGTGTTAAGACAGCTGCATGACAAAAGCTGAATACTACGGCACTCGACCATTTATTGATTTCRATAATTATTTATCGAATTCGATAACTATTTATCGATTTCGATAACCATTTATCGACATCTATGAAACATGTGGAAATATTGATAATTTCTGCTCGAATAGGTGTTAAGACAGCTGTATGACAAAAGCTGAATGCTACGGCACTCGAATATTTATCGATTTCGATAATTATTTATCGATTTCGATAACTATTTATCGATTTCGATAACTGTTTATCGATTTCGATAACTGTGAATCGATTTCGATAACTATTTATCGATTCCGATAACTATTTACCGATTTGCTTGAAAATTGGGTTAAGACAGCTGCATGACAAAAGCTGAATGCTACGCGATGCAAGGTGCATTAATAAACTTATGCATTAATAAATTATTGATCATAATTTGCTCGTTCGAAAAAAGATAGCCCCATGAATGCCTTTGAGTGTGTGGGCCTGTCTGTGATAAAAACAAAACTTGAAACTTGAGTTAGGGCAGTTGCATGACAAAAGCTGAATGCTACAAGACTCAATGTGTGGTACATCAATACCAGAGACTGAATAATATGAATTCATTGCTCATTAAAGAGAAAACATATTCATGATTCACAGAAATAGAAATGCTCTTAATTTAGGTCTTCTATTGAATTTATGGCAGAAGCTAAATGCGATGAGAGTGCATGACAGAAGCTGAACGGTATGAAACTCGAACTCTTAAGCTTTCAGATCGTGATTTTGAAATCATATTGAAATCATATATTACCTATCTACAAATCACTGTTGCCATAGGTCAGCGAATCATTATGATCTCACATTGCTAGCTGACTTTATAGACCTGCCAAATATGGCTTTTTATGGCCTTAAATATTGTTTTCCATTTCAATATATTATTCGCTGCTGGAGTTCGGTTTTTTTTTTTTGTTCATTTGGGTAATTTGGGTAGCACGTGCCCGACCTTATCGTAGGATAATCAATGCTGATAAGTTAACCAAAACTGCGAACATAATCAGTTACGATAAGATCGCACTAAAGTGCCAAGAACCGAGTTACCATTGGGTCGAATTATTCGGCTGTGGTCAGGTGTTTGGATTAAACGTGGCAAAAACAAAGCGCGCTAGCCAACAAATATTTTTTTATTTATAAATTTCGGCCAAGGACTGAAACGAACGCCATGACAGCTGAGGTGAATAAAGGTAAGTTGAAGATGTGAAACATAAATATACTGAATGTTAAGGAAGACTTGGATATATAGAAGCATAAGCTGATTCAGCATATGATTCAGAATGAGCAAAACCTTATTTTATATACGATTTTTAAAGCTGAGTAATAAATCAATAAATAAAATATGCATTTTTTCTTTATCTTATTTTTATTTTATTTAAATTATGAAGCTCTTCAAAAGTCTATCCACACTGTAGAATTTCTATGGCTACTTTGACTTTTGGTCATATATAATAAAGAGAATTTATACCCTGCGCAAGTGCAATCGGAAATAATCCATAAATATTAAGTTGGCGCTTGTTCAAGTCGTGTGGCCACGCTGTCTAATAAATGTCAAGGTGTTTTATGATCTGTTTAGTTTATTTAGACTTTAATCGCAAACAAAAATCGAAATTGTTATATAGCAGAGCTATTTAGCATTCCAATAAATCATATTCTCGTTCTGCTTTCAGGTCCCACTCTGGGTATACGACATCTGCAGGCTTTGCTTATATTCATAACAATCACCTCCGTCTACATTGGACGCCTCAATGTGGGCGTGTCTGTGGTGGCCATGACCAATGCCGAGTCGACAAATCCCGATTTTCCGGTGAGTACCGATTACAGTTGATCCTATAACTCTGCTTACAAGTGTGAATTTCCTTCAGGAATACGACTGGACGGAGGCAGAGAAATCGTATATATTGTCCAGTTTCTTCTGGGGCTATATTATCACCCAGTTTCTGGGCGGATATTTGTGCAAGTTGTTCGGCGTGAAGAACGTCATGTTTTGGGCCACGTTCGCATCGGGCGTTTGCAGTGCTGTCACGCCCCTCTTCATCGGCTGGGGCGGCTGGGCCACCTACTGCGGCATACGTGTGCTGATGGGCTTCGCCCAGGGCCTGATCTTTCCCTGCATTCATCAGCATTTGGCACGCTGGTCGCCGCCGGAGGAGCGCAATCGTTTGGGCGCCTTGAGTCACACGGGCATCGAGGCTGGCAATGTGCTGTCCATGTTTGTGAGCGGCATGATTGCCAAGGGTCCGATGGGTTGGCCGGGCATCTCGTATATATCGGCTGGCGTGGCCTTTGCCAGCTGCGCTCTTTGGTTTGTCCTGGCGGCCAACAATGCCACCGAGTCACGCTTCATTGGCGAGGCGGAGAGAAACTACATCGAATCATCGTTGAAACACAAGGAAAATTACCACAACACCGTCATTCCCATACCCTGGCGCGCCATATTCACATCGGGTCCTTTCCTGGCGCTGATCGTGGCCCGCTGCGCCGAGACTTGGGGCCTGAGCACGCTGCAGGCCGAGATTCCCGCTTACATGAATGGCGTGCTGCAAATGGATATCAAGGACAATGCGTTCTTTTCGGCGCTGCCCTTCCTGGCCATGTGGATCATGTCGTATGTGTACCTGATCTTTGCTGACATCCTGCTCTCGGGCAAATGCCTCTCACTGACAGCCATACGCAAGACCTTCAACTCGATTGCCTTTTGGCTGCCGGCGGCCACATTGATTGGCATTGGCTTCCTCGATGTGGACCAAAAGAACTTTGCCATTGTCCTGATGACACTCAGCGTGGGCTTCAACAGCGGCGCCACCATTGGCAGCTCCCTCAACTCCATTGATCTGTCGCCAAACCATGCCAGCATCCTGATGGGCATTGTGAACACTGCCGCCAATGTGGTACCCATTGTGACGCCACTTGTTGTGGGTCAGGTGGTCAGCGATAATGTAAGCCTCGAGTTCGCTCTATTTTTCCATTGTCTAATCTAATTTCTTCTCTTTCGCTCAGACCGATCGCAGCCAGTGGCAAATCGTGTTCATAATCTCCTCTGTGATCTTCTTTGTGGGCAATTGCATTTACCTGCTCTTTGGCACGGCTGTCTCGCAGCCCTGGGATGCCGAAGATTTTCTGCAGCCGCAACCTATTGCCGGATTGGAAATTGTGGAAAGACAACACGAAAAATCGGTCTCGAAAATGCCCATTAGCTAATTGATAGCGCAGCTAATCAAGTATTATTTACCGAGCTAATCATCAGATAAATGCCACAAATACAACACGCCAAAACTCAATGCTGTAAAGTACACACAATATGTTAGATATACTCAACAGTTGCCCTGCTATCAACAGCATTTCGTTATGTTAATGAAACTGTTAAGCATTATCAATAAATGTTATCGCAACACACTGACAGAAAATTGTGCCGTAAAAGAAATTTCAATAAAAAATATTATTCTAGTTTTAAAGTTCCGTTTTCAACTCGATTTCATATTATTGTGATATACCTCACAATATATTTTTTAAATATATTTTTTTTTTATTTCTTTATTTTTAGTTTATTATTATATTCTTTTTTCTATGAGATGCACATCTGCGTGACTTCCAATATAAATATAATTCTTATACTTTGATTGAGATATTACATATGTACATATATCCTCATCTATCCATACGTATTTCTCATATATTTCACTTTTTGAAGACTGCTTATATTGATAAGAATTAAGTCTTTTTGAATGACTGATAGCTCAAATAAGATTATGAGAAGTAAACAAGTCTGGAATTTAATGAATAAAATCAGTTCATTCATTGCAATGCTTGAGTAGACAAAAGCAATTAATTTATTAAGATACTAGTAACTGAAGACGTCTTATCGTAGCATGCTACCACTATCTTATAAGTATTTCAAGTCATTCATTGGTATTTGTTTTCGGTAGTTAAAGACAAGCCAGTGTAAGATATAAGTAGAGAGAGGATGATAGCACATAAAAGATCAGGATATATGATATTGTTGCTAATTTTTATAATAGCTCAATTTTAACCCTTAGATAATCATTAAAGCCAACCTTTGTACAGGAAGTATTATTAATACTTTAATCTTTAGAGCTCTGTCTTAAATTATGTATAAAATGATATGAGTGGAAGCCCTGTTGAGTATCTGATGAATTAAGGCGATAAGGCCAATGTGGTTAGAAATACTTTGGTAAAAGCACTCAAGAGTTGTCAAGCTATTAACTACAATAGAAATATGTAGATAAGATTTAATATATGGAAGTAAAGTGTTTCTAGTAGCTTTTCCTTATGGCTGTCTAGCAGACAAAAGTTATGAAAGAAATCTATAAATGTAAATTAATGGGGGCTTGGCAATTGAACTCGATTTTGGCATATGCAATATTTATTTAAATATTGACAAAGTCTGTGAAATTAAAAATATGTTCTTGGAAGAGCGCTTATAATATATATTATATATATTTATAGTCGAAAGCATTAATCATCTTTTACTGTTGTGGCTAAAACAATAACGTGTCCCGTCCATCTGCTGCTTACTGCAATCGCAAGACTTTGAGGTCTGTTGATAACTCACTTAAACTTTACTTTATTTAAAGCGAGTCAATAAAATGTTATAAATAATATTCAGCAATTGTTGACATTGTTATTCCTCACTAGGACAGAGTTTTTTTTTAATGTTATGTGAATTGCTAGTGGTAAAATGTACTGCGACAAAAGTTTGGGTGGTGACAGGTGGAAAAAGTGGGGAACAAAGTTGGGGAAAACTATTTTGAAGTCATTTTAAATTTAGCAACTCGAAGATAAGAATTACTAAAGTGAGTTATTTATAGATTTTCTATTTATATCCGATTTTTTACAGTGTATTGACCACTTGAGCGACAATAGATTATTATGATTATATATTTCGTTTTTATTTCTTTGCAAAATATTATTTTGAAATCATATCGATTAATTGTATTATTTATTTAGCTGGTAGCATCGCCGCTAATCAGGGCATTATTATTAACTTGACAATTTGATTAAATTCATAAAGCACATTTAAAGCGACTCATTCACGCGSTGAGTATTAACAGCTGGCCTGGCCTGGCCGGGCTATATGTGGCCACAGCTGTTGGCCCAATAGCGTGTACTTCAGTTGGCCAAAATCTGATGGCAAATAAACAGCTCCACATTAGACGTCACGTTCGATTCTATGTTTAGCATTTCTCTGGATGGCGTATTTGCATTGGCTGGTAGGTGGAACGTCAACTGCCTGATCTTGCCATGAAAGTTCGAAGTTTTGCGTCAAGCGGCCGGCAGTCGCTTGTTTATACACTTGGCTGAATGTGCATGAATGAATTGCGCTGCGTGGCTAGTCTAGTCTAGTCTAGTCAGCCGACGCGACGGCCAGACGGCCGCAGAGAGCCCTGCAGTTGCGTTTTCATATAAAAGTCGACATTGCCGTAGCTACTAGCTCCAGAAGCGTTCCACCCAACAACTGGTGCGCAGATACAGCCATATTTAAGAAACAAAGTAAAGTTAAAAGAGAGAAAAGTTTCTGGAGTACCTGGCCACAGCTCGAGCCATGAATAGTCAGTGCCAGGCAGTCAAGGGTCCGCGCATCGGTGTGCGACATTTGCAGTCGCTGCTGCTGTTCCTGGGCCTCACAGTCATACACATTGCGCGCTTGAATGTCAGCGTCGCAATTGTGGCCATGACCAATGCCGAATCCACAAATCCCAATTTTCCGGTAAGTCCCAGATGCCAACTGCAAGCAGTGCCAGCAGCAAAGCTGACCTCGTCTCTCTGCAGGAATACGATTGGACGGAACGGCACAAGTCGTATATTCTGTCCAGTTTTTATTGGGGCTACATTTTGACGCTGTGCCCGGGCAGCTTCCTCTGCCGTCGCTTCGGACCGAAGATTGTGTTCTTTGTGGCCGCCATTGGCACGGCCGTGTTTAGCCTGATTACGCCGTGGTGCATCTCCTGGGGCGACTGGCAGGCCTTCTGCGCCCTGCGCATACTGCAGGGCCTCTTCCAGGGCGTCATCTTTCCCTGTGTGAACGAGCATCTGGCCATGTGGTCGCCGCCAGAGGAGCGCAATCGTCTCGGCGCCTTCAGCTTTACGGGCTCCGACTGTGGCACTGTGCTGGCCATGTTCATCAGCGGCATGATCGCCAACGGGGCCCTGGGCTGGCCGGGCATCTCCTACGTCTCGGGCATATTGTGCATAGTCTGGTGCATACTCTGGCTCATCTTTGCCGCGAACAATGCCACCGAGTCGCGCTTCATCAGCGAGGCCGAGTGCAAGTATATCGAAACGTCGCTGCAGCACAACGAGCACTTCCACGAGCACAGCATACCCATACCATGGCGTGCCATTTGCTGTTCGGTGCCATTTATGGCCCTGCTCGTCGCCCGCTGCGCGGAGACGTACGGGCTGAGCACGCTGCAGGCGGAGATTCCGTCGTACATGAACGGCGTACTCGACATGGATATACAGAGCAATGCGGTGTTCTCCTCGCTGCCCTTCCTGGCCATGTGGCTGCTCAGCTATGTCTATCTGATCGTGGCGGACATTGTGCTCAAGCGCAAGTGGCTGTCGCTCACCTCGGTGCGGAAACTCTTCAATACGCTCTCGTTCTGGATACCGGCCGTGGCATTGATCGTGATTGGCTTCTTGGACGAGGATCATGCCAATTGGGCCATTGCCCTGATGACGCTCAGCGTGGGCGTGAACAGTGGCTCCACCATCGGCAGCTCCCTGAACACAATCGATCTGTCGCCGAATCACGCCGGCATCCTGATGGGCCTCAGCAATACGGTGGCCAATGTGATACCTATTCTAACGCCACTGATCGCCGGCGTCATTGTTGTGGATAAGGTGAGCTGGAGATATAACTGTAAAGTATACCATGCACATAAATCTCATCTGCATCATCTGCTTCAATCGATTGCAGCACGATCGGGGCCAATGGCAAATTGTCTTTGGCATTGCGGCCATCATCTTCTTTCTGGGCAATTGCGTGTTTCTGATTTGGGGCACGGCTGAGGCTCAGCCCTGGGATGCTGACGATTATCTGAAGCCCAAAGATGCTGAGACTTGCCCGGAGAAGTCGGCACCAGTTGCTGAAATTACGCCAGCCAAACAATCCGTGCTGGAGCAGCGCATGAGCTGGCCGGAGCGCTATGCGGCAAAGAGCACAGATTGATTTATAGCGGACAAAGAATTAGTTGTATTTATCAGTATTAACAAATAAGCAGGATGTAATTTATTTTATTTATAAGGCCGTAAATGTGAGCTTAGGTAAATTATATTTATAGAAATCAATTGAATTTCACATTTTGTTTTTGTTGGGACGGAGTTGAGTGCTTCAGCTGCAGGGAAGGCGAAAAATTCAAGACTCTTGAGTCATAATCTAATCGGACAATTTCAATAAAATATATATTCGACAATTTATATGTATATTAAGGTGAAATATTTGGTCAATCAACGGCGACTGCGATGTCTTTCGCCATTGCCAGCCATCCGGTCAGCTGTGGACAAAGGGAGAGAGAGATAGATCGAGCAGTTGTGAAAACATTTGTCACAGCTGCTTGATTTAGCAATACCATTCGAACTGATACCAAGCGCTATATATTTAATAGCTTTCATGTGCTTGGCACCTGCTTCTAAGGGGGCAGCCACAAGTAGAACTCGATCACAGAACTGGCGGCTAGGCACGCGACTCACTTGTAGTTTATCTGTCTGTCTCTCGCTGTCTTCCTCTCTATCTAATCAGCCGGCTTCTGATAAAATCTAAACTATGATCGTAATTGATTTCAATTGATTCATTATCCATAAGTAGTTGCACTTTGATAACAAATGTTTGTCATTGTGTGTGTGCCCAGGTCCACTGGCCTAGACTTTGTATGTATGTATTTATATATGTATATATGTATTATTTGCCTTTGTTTATCAACAAACTATTATAGAGTCGTTGACTTTATCTGCTTTGCTTTGCCATCGACTCAACTAAATCGTTTAGCAAGTGTCTCGTTTGACTTGCTATAAATGGAAATCTGTTTCGCATTCTTTTTCATTGCTTTTCTAGTACAATTGTCCACATATCACATTTCATAGTAATTAGTTTTGCACTAATTTGTTTCATTTCGCTAATTGGGTGTTACGGACAGCGCCACTGGCTGAAGTATCGAACACACATTTTACACTTTGCATTACACTCTAGACTCTTGTAGCTGGTGTTTACCTTTAAGTGACTCCACATATATGAATATATAAAACATATGAGTTCACAAGTCTGATGATTTAAATTTAGACATATGTTTCTACGTATTTTTATTGTTTTTCTTAATTAATGAGAATATTCATTAACTACTGATCTTAATTATTTCGAAAATATTTTAAGTCTAACTACTTCGAGAGAAATTCAAT